CACAGGCTGGGGCACCAGCCGCGGCCCGTGGGTTTCCGGGGCTCTGCCGCTGCAGATCTGCACCGGGTTCAGGGTCGGCCGCATCCGTGCGCAGGGCTGCAGTGCTGCGTGCGGGGCGAGTGTGCCATCTAGTGCTCCTGCATCCCGCATCCCGCATCCCGGTGGACTGCGCAGCGCAGGCCGCGCAGGGCCCCAGGCAAAGCTGCCGTGCTGGCAGGGCTTGGTCTCGGCCCCAGCACCTCTCTGCTGTGTTTCACACTAGGCCGTCGCTCACAGATGGACAACTGGGGTGCCAGCAAAACACAGCTCACCCGCAGGCCAGGGTGCATCTCCGCTTGCCCGGGTTAGTGACGCTGAGTGCAGCAGCGCTCAGCCCTTCGGTGCTTTTGGGGCAGTTGACTGAGCCCGTCCCAGGCGCTGAGCGTCACTGGAGAGCTCAGCCCACACTGCTGCGGGAGCAGTTTCAGGCTGACACGGGTCTCTTGCACCTCTTGCCCCGCTCCCACAGGACTCGCTCTGCAGACTGCGTCGGACGTGTCCCAGACACCCCTCTGGGCAAATGCAGGGACCCTTTGTCCAGCGTGCGCAGGCTGCTGGGTCCAGGGAGGGCCTGGGCTGCCGTGGGGGGCATGTGGAGTGCCCCCAGGACCCAGGGACTCGCATCAGGCAGGGGGCTTTGGCAGCCGTTTCCTTCCACAACTGCCCCTGTGAGGACAGGACATCTGAGAAGAGCCCTTCTTCACCGGCAGTCTCCCCCCCGCCATCCTGCCCAGAGGCTTTCAAAGTACTCCCTGGGGAAGCCCAAATGACAAATGCTGAGCCTTCCTCTGCACTCCCTGCCCCATCACTGCCCAGGCTCAGCCAGCATGGCACGAGTGTTTTGGGACGGCGAGGGACTCCGTCCTCGCCTCCCACTGAAGTCTTCCCGGGCATCCAAGTGTCCAGCAAGACCAGAAGGGAGAGATTATTTTCATCACCTCCCAGCAGCATCTAACCCAAGTGGGGTTCAGACCAGAATGGGTGGCTATACAGCAGTACAGCCACCTGCAGCAGTCCTCAGAGCACCTAAGCTAGATGTGCAAAGTCAAACGCATTTATGAACATAAACCAAGGTGATGGGAAAGCTTTTTTTGACTTGAGAGAGTCCTGATCCTGGTTTAACCCCCATGAACACCACTGACAGCCACAGAGGGGTCCCCCGAGCCGTGGCACAGCAGCTGCCCAGCCGGCACAGCTCGCCGGGGCCTGGTCCTGCCTCGGCTGCTCGAGTCGGGGCCTGGCTCTGCTGCCCAGCACGGCGTGACGCGCGCTGCCTTCGCTCCGAAACCAGCTTGCTAAGGATCTCGCATCACACACTACCCCTGAACGTACAGTTGCACCACGCTGTCAGCAGCAAGCGATTAACAGTTAGTGCTCATATTTCACCCCGGATATGTCAAAACCCCTTTTCCATGCCCTTCAATAGATCAAGTGACCAAATGAATAGAGTACAGAAAATTAACCCTTTTTATTGATGCATTGCAATTGTTCTACATTTTTACCATATTATGTAGAAAATACTTAAAATACAAGCTACTTTGTAAAACCAAAGACAAACATTGAATCCAAAGATAAACTATGTTTTCACAATGGACCCTTTTCCCATATAGTTAGTATTAAATTTTTAAATATCTATTTCTTTTGTTAAAATGATTTTTACATACCCCCTAAGTACATCAGCAATACAAACATAGATCAGTAATTGTCAGAAACTACCTGTATCTAGCGGCTTGTAAAAAGGAAGAGCACAACCATAAAAGAAAGTTAAATTTTACACAGTAACTAGCATATCAAATACATTTAATAAAGTAGGAATTCCATTGCAATATCAAGGATTCAAGCAGAAATACTAACATTACATATAATGTACTGCTACATGTAGTGAGATAGATATATTTCAAGCTGAATCTGAAATCACACATTATATAAAGTTTAGCAACAAACAACCATGTGGACATGCGGCACCATTCAGAAGTTTAAATAAAAAAGAAAGCAGGGCTGTGCCAATCCTGTCATTTAGAAGCAATTTAGTTTCATGTACTAAAAGAAATTGCTGAGTCAGAGGTAAATTACTGCATCCCATCAACTAGGTGCTAAGCAGGAAAGCCTCAGAAGTTGCCTCTGGAGTGGCTATCACAGCTGCGAATACAGGTCAGGTAATAGGAACAACTGATTTAACAGTTCAAGAATCACACAGACAAGTCTAGATGGGACCACGGTTATCAAATATTCAAAAGGTGAATCCCAAACTACTTTTAAAAAAATTAAAGAGGACTCCAATTTCTATCCAGAGATAGCACATTTCTTTACAAAGTATGTGTAGCAGCTCTGACAATGAGGGGAGTCAATTCTTTAACCTAATTTGAAGGCTGGATATGCATGGGAAGAAGGGATGTATCTCCTTAGAGCAGTCTACAATATACTTAAATTGGGCAACACATACTGGGGCCAGAGTGGGATCCGCCACACTTGTGAAGCCAGCGCCAAGATGAAAATCTGGCCCTGCTGGGGTGGGGTTTTTGTTTGCTTGGTTTATGCTGTGTATCACAGAGGAATTTCAGGGTAATCAACAACTTGTTTTAAATGGAGTATGTTTCATTTTACCTTTGTCATTTCCATCTTGTCCTCCTTGTTCCAGTACTTTCGGAAACTTGGACAGTGGAAGAGATGACACCATGCTTTGTGAATACATTTCATTGGGTTTAATTACATAATAATGACTCTAAAGATAAATGGTCATTTTAACCTGCTTTTTGCGGGGGAAGTGGGCAAGCTCTTCTTGAAATTATTAGCAGATTTTGCTAGAGGTCTTTTTTTCCTGTTAGGACTTCATGGAAAACACTTTACTATTTGTGAAACAGGGAATAATGTTTTCCTGAAACAGGAATTGGAGCTTGTTTTGCCTTTCGAAGGAAAGGCACAACTCTGTACCCAAGAGGTATCTCAAGGCAAGTACTGAACACAATGTAATATGGAAAAAAGTAAGAAAGTGCCTACAGCAACAAATAGCATCGTTTACACCAATGATGTGGAATAGCAAGATCGGTTGGTTATCCGCACACTTACAGAAGTGCTCTGACTAAAAATACACTGAACAACAACATCGCTAATGCTACTGTCCAGTTCCAAAGTCCTTGATCCCTCTATCGAAAGAGATGCCAAACCTTTAACAGTTCACCAATTTCAGGTCAGTCCAGACTTTCTGCTAACAATAATGTGGAATTTCAGAAATGACTTTTGCACTTCTTGTCACATATCGGTCAGAGAACTGGCCTCTTTTCCACTGGGACGGAACATAAACTGGGATTCAAGGTTACCAAAACCTCTTATTGCTGCAGTAATACAACCGCTCAAGCCAGTTTATCATCCATTTGGACAAGATACTTAATCTACGTACTGAAGATGAGAAATAAATCCTAGTACGAGGGACCCAAGAAAACAAAGTGTAGTTTAAAAACTGCACTGATTATCCAAAATGAGTATTTCCTCTGAACACTAACTAGGGCTACAGCTGACAAACCTTCCCAACGACTCCGCATTAGCAGTAGCATTATAAAACTTTTTAATGGTATTATGTGCTTTACAGCAGGCTCTCTTTGGTATAAATATTCTATCACCAAGCTAGCAATATTTTACAAGAAATGTCTGCTATTAACGTGGGGGAAGGTAACGCCATACTAATCTAATAAAAAGTGATTGCACATATTTAATCACTTCTGCAATATTAGACTAAACATTCCAATGCATTCCCAGCACTACCTTATTCGAAATGCACTGACAGACATCTAACAGTACATATGCCATTTCAAGGAAAAGCTTTAAGGAAACATCGCTTCACTCCGAACAAAAATGTAGCTTTTTATGATAGCATTAAAACTGAGAACAATGCACCTATGCAACATACTGCTGTTCTTGCTGTGATAAGCTTAGTGAATTGCTTCAATTCGACGGGGGCTTGCTGGTCCCTCATAAGGCAAGCTCACTGTAAACTCTAGTCACACTACATCATCATTTAAGGCACTACAATAAGGGGACACACCAAACAACTCTTCATCACACATACCTGTGCAAAACAAATCAGAAGGTATCCTTTTCTCTCATGAAGCTCTACTCCTCTCTCAGTGCTACAGTGATGAGCTCTAACCATTGCATTATATCACATACATTCCAACATGAATCAATTCATTTTGGTTTAAATACAAAGGATACATCAATTCCATCCCCAGGAACGTTTAAGAATTAGACAAACACAAAGTACAGAGTTCAAGTATAATCACTACACATTTTGATTACAAAGACAGAACATTTGGGGTTAGCAGGAAGTTTTGCTTGTTATATTTTTCTAATCAATATGTACATATTTCATTTTATGTAAAATATTAAAACACCACCAATACAAAACTTCTAAAATAGTTTTAAATTCAGTAATAAACTTTAAAATCTGGATTTTTTTCCTTTTTTTCTTTTTCTTTCTCTTTTTTTTTTCCCCCCAATTCCTACATGCATGTACTGTATACAAGTCTTATTAAGAGCGCTTTAAAGTAGCTGTTGACATATCCAGGAGGATACGCTCACAGGAGTATAAAAAGCTGTACACATCAATACAGTGATGTTTCATTGTATTTCAAATTCAACTCCCTCCTAAATGAATCATGTGAGGAAAAATATTAAGAATAACAGAACAAAGAAAAGCCCTGTGCTTCTGTGAAGGAATCCAGCTCCGTTATAGGGCCAGCATCTAATAAGTTGCAGAAACCAAATTTTAGAGCAATGCTGCACTATTCATTCTCAGCTGAAGACTACAGCATCCTGACAAAGCTGCTGAGTTCTGTTACACAGTGAGATCTTGAATACAGTTTGAAAAAACTTAGAAGAATTCTGCAATGAATGCAATAAAAATTCAGCTGTGTTATGGAGACATGGAATTTCCAAGAAAACAAAACAGATTTCAGGGTGTACACGGATTCCTGAATATAAAATGTTGCTAGTATGAGGCAGCTGCCTCTACCAGTCCTTAAACAAAGCAGAGAAGTAAACAAAAAACTTTGACAGTAACATATACGGAGATGTAATGGCTTTTGCAGAACCAGCAATTTGTTAGAGACAAAGTGAATTAGAGAACAAATGTTAAAATATTAAACTTGATTTTAAAACTGCCCCAGCAACATAATGAGAGAAACGTGCATTACATTTTTAGTGGCAACATGGATTTGTGCAAGCTGCTAAAATATAATCTGCTAGTCTTTTTGTTTAAGTTGTACAAGTTAAAAAAGTCATCAGGATCTGTCTTCCAAGACACTGATTTTCTTTCCCCTTTTGATTAGCACAACAGAACAATTTTAAATGTGACCATGAACTTTTTAAAAGCATCTATAAAAAGTAAGTAAAATTTTAAAAACTTAATTAGTGACCCTCATACTGGTAACAAAGCATGCTGCTCAGTTAGTGACTGAACTCACTAGAGACATTTTTGAACAACATACAACCAGATCAGGGAGAAAAAAAAAACAGGCAGTCACTACCAGGTAAAGGTTCACCTGAAATCCTTCTCCAATTTCTCAGGCCTATTGCAGGACAGTGCTTTACTAGGAACTACAAGTATGAGTACTGGTTGATCTTTGTAGGGCTCAGCGGATATCCAGTGTAAATAGCAGATCCTCTGGAAGCACCAATATAGGACTGGGGAGCAAACTGGTGTTGGTACTGGGCAGGCGGAACATTTGCGGAAGTCAGCAGACTTGGACCAACACTCACAGGGACCTGGTGGACAAGTGTGCTAGGGTGGGCAGCGTACGTGGTGTGCCGCGAAGAGCCCTGAGGGGAGAAGAGGTGGGCGATGGAGGTGGTGGAGCCCAGTGTTGCAGCAGTGGTTGGAGCATAAGTGTACATATGTGGCTGGCTGGACAGGTGTGCGTTTGCCGTTGCTGCTGCCAGGTGGGGATGCACTGGGCTGCTGTGCTGAAACGTGTAGGGAGCCTGAGAAATAGTTGACGTGAGGGGTGCCACATAAGCTTGCTGCCTACGTGGGACAGCATTTCCACTTCTCTCCTGTGAGGCCAGCACTGTTGTTTGCTGGTTCTGCAGGGAGAAGAAGTAAATAAGGTTAGTGGCTATCCTCAGGGAAAAGTGCAGTGGACAGGAGGTGAGCAAGGAAGGGTCAAGCCAGAGCCTCCCAATCAACACCCCTGCTCTAGCTGCAGGACTGACACTTCTACAGATCCTCCCTTCCCAGCTCTGTGAAAGCCTCACATAAATTTGAGGTTTACTGCAGTTCCACTGAGACAAAGGTTACACTTCTCCTCTACAATGGGATCAAACTGCCACACCTGGGGTATTACAGTACACAGCTGTACAAGTACAGGCAGGTCCTAAGACTGACCCAGCCCTTGAACTCCTCACACATCTATTCTTCTGCACCTCAGTGAGAGCGGCAGCAGGGCTGCTCCATTTTAGCACAACAAAGCCTGTCTCGACCCCATGCCAGAAATGAACTGGAGGTGTAATGCTTCCTCTCTTCTGATAGGCTACTGCGGCTTGACTCAAACATCAAGAGCAGTGACACAAATTGAAGTGAAACCAATCTCTAAAAGTTTCAAGGGAAGTCAGGTGCTAACTGTTAGTTTGAGAGACAAGGTCCAGCCTTAATCTCCTGGTCAGGCCTTTATGAGAAGGAAGGTAAAGAACAAAAGAATCTCCGCTTCTCATATCGTTGAGTGCCTTCAATGCTACTCTAACACAACAGCTGGATCCTGGTGTCGCTCTCCCACCCGAGTGGCAGGAATGTCTCACTGCAAGACAGGTGTGACTAGGAGCACGAAGAAAAAATATGGACATAACTATGCTTCCTTCTCCTACCCTCTGGTACAGTAACAAATTCTTTGCCTTGAGAAACTCCACCTATACTCCCAACAGGGTTTACCCTACCCTGCATGGCCACAGGACAGAATCAGTTTCAAAGAATTTGAGGTAGCAGCTATTGATCCTCTTGTAACCAAGTCATTCTCCCTGCCATACAGCAGCGTAGTGTTTCTAAAGCAATTCTAAAGCATCATGTTCAAAGGTCAGCAAAAGTCACACAGTGCTTACCTGGCTGAGATTGAGAGGCTGCACACCATTTGTTACCACGCGATGTGAGCGGTACCCAGTAGGTGTTATACAGCATCCTGATGACTGCCCACTCACAGAGGCCACTGGCTTGGTCTTACTGGTGCTGCTCAGGATGCCTGAAAGATTTCAAAACCTTAGTCCATTCTTCCCTTTCACACGCCATGCACTGTGATAACCAGCTTAGGTAACGGAATAACGCACAGGGACTATTTCCGTAGCAGAGCCTTTTCTTCAATTACGATTTAAAATCTGATTGTACAAGAAATCATCAGGAATTTTTACAGATCTTTCTAAATGCAGCCAAGCATACATGAAAGGTAAATCTATCAATGAAACTGAAAATAGACCAAGGCTTGCACTCTCATAACAGCAGCTGTGAAACCTAAAGCTGCTGAAAACCCAATGCAGATAGTCCAAAACTGCGAGGACAAAGCTGTCAGGGATAAGACAGCATCTGAGCCTTGGCAAAAACTACTGAGGTTACACAGTAACCTATGAGAGCATACCTACCTGAAGCTTGGGTAGCTACAATGCAGTCATTGAGCTGTGTTTTCAGTGGTGGCACAATGATAGTCCGAGAGCTGGAGCTGTCAGCTGCTCCTCTACTCGGCAGCTCCAGGGCACCACCTGTACTCCTGAGAGAGGAAAGTGGGTCTGTGGCATAGGGGCTGTTCAGGGAGGAGTCGGAATCAGGGGAGTCATTAACAGTAACGTAGCTGATGACGTTGGATCTCTGCTTCATACCCAAACTGTAGGGGGGAAAAAAACAAAACAAAACAAATGGGAAACAGTCTAGCTTTTACCACAAGATACAGGAGAACTCCCTCCGGGATCTCGTATCTTCCCTCGTGGTCAGATGAAATTCTGATTAACTAGAGAGACAAACAGGACAGCGGACATGATGCAGAATTTTCTGTCTTATGTAGTGCTTCTTACCCTAGCCAGGGCTTTGCATGTAGTGTTCTCCTTGATGCTTGGGCTGAGATCAGGACAAATCAGCACTGGCTGCCTAAATGAACTTCCTACCTGGCAGGTTTGTATTTACTGTCCTCTTCCTCATCTGTGTCGCTGCGAATGGTGATGACACTGACGGGTGGGCTTGGAGTGTCTGGGATGACAATGGGCTGGTGCTGCTCCTGCACTGGGACGAGCACATTGGAAGAGGAGGAGGTGGAGCGCAGAGGACTGCTCCCAATGAGTGAGTAAACTTGGGAGGGCACAGTCTCTAGAGTTGAGCTGGGCCTGAAGGAAAACCAAAGCAGTATTTAGCTACGTGTCAGCAGGCTGGGACAAACCAGCACCAGCATTAAGAACAGCCAGGCTCCAGCACGCTGGAGCACACATACAAGAAGAAACATCTTGAAATACACAAAGAGAACCTCAGTGCGGACACTCATACAGGAGAGCGCCATAGAACGCATCCCAGAAGGGACCAATGCACTCAGTGATGCTCTGAACAGGACTGATTAATATGAACACTGCCAGAAACCTGCTACCCCTTGTTAGACAGATGTCAATCCTGTCACTTGTATTGCTATGGCAGCAACACACCCGTAATGTGTAAAACCCGCCTTTGACCAGTACAGTAAAGCACTTGGTCAGTCACGTTCCTTGCACTCTCACTGAAATTATTATGACTTATATCAGTGACTACAGTACAGAGACTTTTTCCAAGACATCTTAAAAAGGAACTGTAGCACATTAAAAAGTTACACAGACAATGCCTCTGTGATCAGAAGACCCGTTTTTCACATCATAAAGGCAACTTCCACAAACACACCCACAGTCTTTCTAGGGCTGGAAAGGAAGCCTTACTTGGCTGCACTTGGTGCTGGCTGCTTGTTCTTCTTTGCTGGAACATTGCTGCTTTGCTGCTGCCTAACAACATGAGCAACTCCAACATTCAGAGGCTGCGCTGTAGCTAATGTCACGTGGTTGGTCAGTAGTGATGGCTGTTGCATGAGAGTGCTATACTGATTTCCATGGGAATGTGCATTCCTGGGGCAGGGGAAAAAAAAAAAAAAAAAAAAAGACCCAAATCCCATGACTACACTGCAGGCACCGCAAGCTGCACTGAGCCCCTGCGTGACTTTGAAGGGAAGGGAGAAATTCTGTGCACTGCAGGCAGTACTGCGATGGCACGTATTTCCATTCGGCATGGAGTTGGATCCTGTGCAATCCCTACCTCCAGTCAGCTAATTGCTGGCTGCTGCCGATCGTCTCCGGAATCACAGCCGCTGGCTGAACAGAGTTGTGCAAAGCAACCCCTGGGAGCTGCTGCCAGGTGGAAGGAAGCAGTATCTGCTGGGTTCCCCCAGGCCACGCCTGCTGCAAAACAACAAGCAGATACACAAGTTCACTAGATTTCAGTTCCTACCGGTGGAGGGAGAGAGAGAGAGAGAGAGAGAGATTTGTTCCAAGCAATAAATGCACTCGTGTAGATTGTTAGCTTGCAGAGATAACGGCACATCATTGCACTTTCTCAATAGGTCTCCATACAGTAAAAGAACAAGAAAACCAGAGAGAGAAGCTTCCCCTGACACTTTGCTAACCATTTGTATCACAGATGTCACCTGGGGAAAAGAGTGTTAATATTGTACTGCAGAATGCAGCCAGATATTGTACTGCCAGATGCAGCATGAGTGTTCAGGACTGTTTCTGCATGTAAGTTTATGCACACTGCTCTGCTGAAGGATTCCAAAATATGAAGCCAATTTGGTCCTTTCTGTTTTTCTGCCTTACAGGGCTCACACTGAGAGAGCTGAGACAGTGTTATTATTGTGAAAATTCACCCCACCTCAACAAAAGTATTTAAGAAAAGCCTCACTGAGAGAAACATTTCGTTACAAGGGAGATACGTGAAGATATTTTCAATTCATTAATATTATTAATGTTCCAGTCCAAATTGACAAAATGCATTTTTTTCAGGGAAAAAACCCAAACAAAAAGGAAAATAAATTTGGCAGTACAATATTTCTATGATTTTGAAAATATATGGCTCTCTTTCTTGCAGTTTAAACTGCAAAACCATAAACACCTGCTGTTTTAAATAAAATATTTCTGCAAGTAACAGATCCACTTATTACAAATACCGGTTCCAAACAAGAAGCCTTCAAAGCAGAGAACTGCTAAAACCTCTGCCAACATAAGCATAATAATAATAATAATAATAAAAAGAGAAATATGTTAAAAGTCACACCATGCGTCTTTCCAAAAGCCAACACCTGCACAAGACAAAGCAGAGAGTTTAATACAGCAAGATACAAATTCCCAATGAGAGGCAGAAATCGGGCCTTCCAAGCGACGAACTGTTTTGACAGAGGAAGGACAAAAATATGCAAAGCTTAGCAAATGGCTAATGCAAACTCAGGGGAAGCAGCAAGGGAGAAGTGTCGGAAGCACTAAAGGTGAGCAAATTCACGCCAAAGGCTCCCAGAATCCAAACAGAAATAGTAAGTCCTCCAGAGAAACTCAGAATCAGGCTCATAGTCTGGAGACAGCTGGCTCTGATCTCCACTGATGTACAGGGGAGTTGAACGTCAAGTCCACTGCACACACACAGGAGAACAGAATTTGCCTGTTGAATCAAAAGCCCAAATACACTTTTGAAAACATCACTAACAACTCACTTGTGTCCCAAGCTCTGCTACAGTCACCCCTTGCCATTTTCAGAGCCTAGATTGCAGCCTTTCAGCAATCAAAATTCAAGAGGAGGAAAGGAGATACATCCCTGGGTCTGTTTAGCTCAGAGCTGTGACCCAGGAGAACCCCACTCTCCTGCCTTCCCATCCTCAGAAATAGGGAGCAGTTAACTTGGTTCAGAAGAACTCAAACAAGTGGGTTTTAATTTCAGTACAGGTATGACTTGAGCAAATTCCACTTCAGCAGAGGTCTCCCTCTTGGAAGAAAATGACACTCAAACTACCACTTTAAAGCCACAAGAAACAACATGGTTCACGTAATGGAATATGCTTTGAAAGACACGTGAGGATACCAGCACTTAAGTGCACTGCAATGTTTTCATAAGCTTCACTGATCTGATTCTGGAGTTTTACAATGACTTCTTCGTGGCATTTGCAAAGTTGTTCTGATGCAGGTGCCAAACGAATACAGAAGAGGACAATTTTAAAAACATACGCTTCTTAAAGGTGTGTTTATTCCCTTCCCCCATCCTTTTTAAAAATTGTTCCAAATAGCCTAAAAGCTAGCTATTGCCGTTTTGGATACTAGAGCTCACCTTTAATTTCAACCAAGAAACACATATGAACTGAAAGTATCTGTGAAGAATGGTATCTTTATCTGGAGGAAGCAAGCTACCTGCGATTGGCTATAAATAACAAAAGGCCAGAAAATTATTGTCAATGTTCAACAGAGGTTAAGAGAAATCGACTGCTAAAGCAATACATTAAAGAATTTGCTATCATTAGAGATTTTAGCCTGTGCTTAATGACCTGAAACATTTCTACATGCAAAGCAGCTTTACATGTGTTGAAAACAAAATATGTAGCTAGCTTGCCAAGTAGTTCAAATTCTGGCCATCCAGGTACCTGTAGCAGAGTCAAGCTAAAGACTGATTCCTTTGTATTCAACAATCAAAAGGCAAAGATAGGATAGTAAGCGAAGAACAAGAACAATTATAACTCTTCTATAGTATAGCTTAGAAGAGCTTTATAATACTAGGCTAGTAAAAAGTAATAGTCAATGGATCTGGATTCTTTACAGAGCCACACTAAACGTCAGAGTCAGACAGTGCTTCAGCAATGTTGGGGAGGAAAACAACAAGACATTAAGATGTAGCGAGAACACAGCCACAAGATGGCACATGCTTCCATGCCCTCTGCAAGTCTAAGTTAAAACAAAAACTCAGTTAGTGAACACAATCAAGGGAGGCAATTACCAGTACTGCAGCCGTCTGTTCTACTAGCGCTGGCCGGCCGGCTGCGCAGTTCAGAGTAAAGGGGACCGCATACTGCGGCGTGATGGTGGCTACTTGAGGATGAAGAGTTGCTACCATTAGTGGTGTACAGCTTCCCTGAAATGTAGATCAGGCAGTGAGTGAAACACACGTACTGAGGCAGGATAAGTGGGTTCAGCAATAGGGCCAGAAAAGCTTTCACCTCACTGGCATTCTATGGTGCTTGAGCAGACTCCAGAATTGTAATGGATGCAGTGAAACCAACACCCAGACCCTCCGGGCATGTTCCTCTAAGCAGTTCCCTGAGGGGAACACAAGGAACAGGGAATTTGGGAACAGGATCTCTCCGATGACACAGTTAAAAAGTAAAAATGAGAAAGTGTTCAGCTATTGACACTTTACTGGGTCCCAGAGAGCAAGTTACACTACGTACACTGCACTAAGCCATAACACAAACTGCACCCCCAGCAGGACACAGCATTTACTATTGTACCTCTAAATTCACATACAGTACTCTTGGAAAAAGATAAACTAAGGGATTTAATAGAAGGCACGGTAGGTCTTTTGTATCATGAAAGAGCAAAGTTATCTGTGATGAAACTACCAAGGCACATATTAGTCCATCAAATGTCTAATTAAAACTAGATTCTTAGCATACAATTTGCACTCTCAGGAAAAGCAGGGTTTGGATTCAGGTGGGCCTCCTTCAAGTGTATTCTGCTTTTTAGATACCGTTACCTGTATAATTATGCTAAACAAACCAGAAATCACAGAATGCCACCAAAATTATTTGGACTGAACAATCTAAAAATTACTCCTCTACAAGTAGGTCAGTAAGTACAATATACTGCCTGGAGAGTAAAACTAATAAAGTATGTGTTAATGTCAGCAGAAACTAAAACTATGCAAATAAATAAAAGTGCACTTAATTATAAAGGCAATTACAATTTTTCAGTGAATAAAACCTGTGAATCACAGGGTACTCGCTATATATGAAAACATTACTTTTTGGAAATAAAAATTGTTTTAATTTACGACACATTACTAATGTTTAAAATATCATTTTTTAGAAGTATTTGTGAATTTTGCTATCGCATATTGTTTAAACTGCAAACAACAGAAATAGGTATGTCATTGCTACACATCGATTCACACTAACAATGTAACTGAGAAGGATTCAGAAATAATTTTGTTGGTTTAAAGATGAAAATTTAACATGAGTAATCTGTGTTGCTACTTCTGTTTACTCGGATCTCGCTTCTCACAGAAACCATTTCTTCTAAAATTTGCTGCCACGTTTTTAAAGTGTAGGCAAAAATGTACACCACTACCTATAAGGCAGTGTACACCCGTGAAAAAATACAGCCTGTTTTTAGCAGCTGAATACTACATATTTATTCCCATTATTAAATCAAACTCCTAAAACCAGGGAGGCACATGACATAAAATAATTTAGACTTTAAATATTCCAGGAAAACAAAACAAGAAAACACTGTCTTAGAAGTGATCTGCATTTAACCTTTCAGAGTGTTCTGAGAACCCCCTGCATCCACCCCAGCACCAGAGGGGCAGTCAGGTTCTCCTGGATGGTGCTAGGAATTGCAGTTAACTCTACGGGGTTTTTTGGGTTTGGTTTTTTTTTTTACCTGTGTGAGAACTCCAGACTGGATCTGCAGTGGCTGTGCTGCAGGTGCCTGCGGTACAATTGGGACAGCATTCTCCATCCTTACTGGGAACCCAGAATGCTTTGTAGTTGCCTGAAGTCCAGCTGTGGAGGACAAGAACACATCACCGCTAAGCTGTTTTGTTATTCTTTTTTTTCTTCCCTAGTTTCTTTCCAAAATCAAATTCCTACCAGGTAAGGGCAGAAGACAGGGTCAGATGAAGAGAAAGAAAGGCTATTCCCTTTGACAAAAACATACTAATAGAACACCAGCTGAAGTAAATACTTCTGCAGTCCCGGTATGCCAAAGGGCAATGATGGACAACCAGTCTGCAAAAGCTTGGCTCTGTTGAAGTCCACAGTCTTGTTTTCAGAAACACAGATAACACAGACATCTAATTCTATGTTGCTTGAGACTAAGTTCAAAGTTCAAACCTTACACTATCAGTTCCCATTTCATATCTAACCCTCCATACTAACACAATCCAGATATAAGCATAAAGAGAGAACTTTCAGGATTAATAGAGCTATGCTTGTGCTAACCTCACTTATTTGCAATCTGTGACAATTTGTTGCTAGCAAACTACACAGCTGCATCAATGCTTGTGAACTGAGACTCAAAGACCAGATATTCACTCCTGACATACAAAACACAGCATGACGCTTTCTTATTTTCAGATAGGTCTGGCTCCTCTGTTCACTGCTTTCTGTGGAATGCTGTTGTGTTCAGTTTGGGGGGAAAAACTGGTTGAGCAACCAGATGAAGACTGCAACCTAGGCAGGCAAGATACTGTCACCTGTTCAAGCATGACCTGGAAGAGAACCAAATTGTCTACACATGTCTGACCTGATTCTGCACTTACATCTGACGCAAGAGCACTGTGTGACATGCACAGAGTGGTCTTCTGTACCTTCTCAATTTAGTGCAAATTACAACTTCTCATTTCTACCTAACTGAAACCACAGTACCATACAAAGGGTTTTTCCGCTTACTTTGAAAAGCAGGGGGACAAACAATGAATGTTTGCTGGAATGGGTCAGTCTGCGTGCAGATCTGGGTGGTTCCAGGTTGCAAGGAAACACTCTGTTGTGCCACTCCTGCAACTGGTGCTGCAGATGATGGATACAGAGCAGACTGATAGTTTAGCAGTGAGACGTCCGAGTTTGCCAGGGAAAGAGTAGCAGCAGCAGTAGAATTGGAGGCCAATACACTGGCCTAAGAAAAAAAAAAAAGTCAGATTTATCACTCATACTTGTTATAAAACAAACAACAGGAATCATCAGTATTATGCTATGAAGGAAGCACCAGGAAAAGGTTTCAGGTAAAAGGCATAAGACAACATAGGAGAAAAAACATGAATTGCACCAACTTTACTTATGTTGCTGAACTGACAGGCAAATATGATTAGGTGAAGCAAAGAAACTGCCTTGGCCTGAGTTTTGGAAAATTAAATTTCAAGACAAGACTACAAATTCTGGAGAGCAATTTAAATATAGTATTTTGCAGAACAGGATTTGGCCTGAAGGCACAAAATTAGACTACTCCATTTCTTTGATTAGTATAAAACAACTAAAAGATGCTATACCTGATTGTGTACTGTATTGAGCTGGTTGTTAAAACTCATTGTCAGATTTGTGCTTGTATTAGGAGCAACATGAGTTGTGAATGGGCTCTTAATCTGATTCACTGTATCATACATATTAACTCTTCGCTTGCAGATCTCCATATTCTGAAAGCAAGATTTCACACTGAAACAGAATGACAGAAGGAAGATATCAGATACGTAAAAACAGTACAACAGAGACATGACAGATTCCCAACTTTACGCACATGCCTTTAGGTTTAGGTTCTTTTTTTTAACCAACAAAGAATGTCCTAAAACATGAAAAGGAAGCTTATGAACATTCCATTCCTTATACATGCCATTGCTATTTTCAGATCAGCCAGAAACTGCAGAAAACACCATTGACAGAAAGCAGAAAAGTGCTGTTCTGTGTTTCCAATAAGTCCTCCTGAAACAAAACAAGAAATCTAAGGAAGCCTACTGATTACTGTGTGGGAAATCCAGTAGATGTGTCATTGTAACAAATGGATGGTTCAAAGTCTTCAGTGGAGTAATCCTCTTATCTGCATCAATTGTCAACATTTTCTTCAACAAATCAATATATTCCCTTCGGTCAGCCTTCTCTGCCAACATGTCAGTCCCTTCTAAGTCTGTAGACATATTCACCTTGAAAATAAAATGAGAGTAGTTCACACAAACATCAAATTAATTGCTACCTAACAATTCACTAATTTCACATCATGCAGAAATATTTATTAAGCATTTCTGTCTCTTAGCCAGCTTAATTTTAGGTACTACAGTGCTAACACACAGCCTTTCCCTTGCTCATTCTATAAAAGGAAGTCAAACTTACACATGGAATTCTCATCTCAGCACGAAGTTGGTCTGTTCAATAGGTATCAGCCAGGCTTCATTCTCCACTGCCTGGCAATATGCCCTCATTTTTTGTGTGGGGCTATAAGGGGCTAGCAAATCAAAATGGCAAGATTCTATATTCTCTGTACAGATGTGATGATAACCGCTACAAAAGCAACAGAAAATTGAGACCAACATATTTAAGATTCAAGGCCTCATGATATTAAAAACATTCAGATATTCCTTCATTTTACCTCTGAAAATAGAATGAAAAAATAGAACGATCTGTAGTTCCTGTCAACATTTCCAAAGTCCAGTAAGAGGCCTAATCCTATAAACACAGCTGGAGGTGCTTAGCTCTCCTACAGCTTGACGACTACTAGCAATAACAGGCTAAGCACGCTTGTTGCATCTACCAGATCAAGGCCTAAGAAAAAACAAGAAATTTCTAACAGCTTCATAATTAACATTTTGATAGTCTTTTAATACAGTGATTTCTGATGCAAATTGGCACCATGGCAAACCTACATCAGTGTTCTCAACAGCATGTGGAAGAGGACTGCTCTGACACAGGAGACTCATTTTTAGAGATCCCAATAACATATGTAATTAATGTGATAGTATCTGCGTGTTACAAGATCTCCACACACCTGCGCCATATCATCCAAACAGTTGAATATATATTTCCGAGCTTCTTTTGATTTTATTCCTGTCTCCAACTCATGTTCTTCTGGGGTCTATGAAAGAAAGCATTTGTTAATATAAACTGAGATACCGCATATTGATAAAGAAAAAGCAGCAAGAAAAGAGCCAAGCCAGGTGATCTTTTGCCCGCTTTAAGACAAATCACATGCCAGTAGGCCAAACCAGAACAGCCATGGGTTCTCATTTCCTCAACTGGAAAGATCATTCATTTCAAAGCTGAATTAACAACAGGATGACTTCATTTCAAGGCTTTGTTAGGTAGTGCTAATGCCAGAACTACTGAAGATTTCTGATTTAGGAAGAGAAGAGGCTATAAATATTTTAAATCTCTCTTTTACGAAGACGACGACAGGCAAAATCCCCTTCCTTTTGCTGCTCAGCTTTAAAGGCAAATGAAGTGTACATCTGATTCTTTCCTGTCCTCATCTGATTCTTTCCTGTCCTCTGCCAATACACAAATAGATTTCTGTTAAACTAACAAACACCATCATGAAATACTCCCTGTTTTACTCTTTGTATTGTCAGGAGATGACAACAAGATGACATACTTCACCAAGACTGAGCAGGCCATAATAAGTAACTATTATCTCAATTACTTTAACACCCACTCTTTGCTGGTACTATCATGCACAGCTGCTATTGTTAGACGAGTACCAGGGGGTCTGTGCAGTTTCTGAAATGAAATACATAAATCAGCTATATTTGAATGGCATTTCAAATCCAATCTTCACACAGAATGTTTTCACAGCACGCTAAAACTAAGTGTGAATTTATATCAAGTCCTCAATGAACAAAACAGAATTGGGAATTAAAAACACAGACAAACCTTTAGCCTCCACAGTGGGTATCCCAAATTTGGATCTCTGTTAAAAAACCTGCTTGTTTTCGTTCCCGCACTGAGAAGATACTCCGCTGGAAGGCCTTGAGTTTGTGAAATATAACGAATCTAGGAAAGAAAATTAAAAGAATGAGGACTCCCAACATAAAGAACTCATAGCTAATGGAGTAATTATCAGCCAGGTTTGTTCACAGTGAATAGGAAATAACCTGTGAGTAAAGAATGCCCAGATAACTGAAACTGCAAACTGCAAAATTAAAGGGACCTTCTCAAGTGTTTATAAGGACACTTAATTTTTTCAATCATATTATCTGCAGAAATTTTAGGTTTTAAATACATCTTTCTTATTTTATGGAAACTCTTTTTGCCCAAGTATATGTGAGCAGACTGTAAGCTTTTGAGACATGGATGAAGTAACACCAATAGTCTTCAATATCAGCAATGTAAGCAGCACACATTTTGAGAGAAAAATACCACAGAAGTTATCACGTATGTATATATAATTAAATGCATAAGTATCTAAGCAACATTGCTGTGACTGGCTACATATACTCTAGGCACACAATTTGAGAATAATGTCATGGCAAAGCTCTCACTGGCCAAGAAAGCAAGACCAAACCTCTAGTACAACCAGATTCTTACATCCTCAGAAACATTTAATATACTTTACTTTACATGTAACAAAACAAATGGCTTGGAATTTTGGAAAATGCACCTGAATAGTTGTGACAGTACCAGTAAGACACTGGTAAAGAGCTAACAAATAAAAAGGTATGCTCAAAAGGAAAGAAAACAGCAAGTTATGAAAAAACACAATAATAAGCTTTTTCAAATATTCCAAATGTTGCCCAACTGCTAATGCTATTTGCTCTCAAGATGTACTGTGAGAAATGCGACATTGCCTTTGTCATGACTCTCCCCTCAAAGGAGTCTATCTAAAAGTTTAAGAAAAAAACCCTGATAAGACTGATTTATAAAATGAGGACTGCAAACACAGTGTTAAGGTAACCAGGCTTTGTTCGAATTATCGATTATAGGTCCTTTAGCATGTCTCGTTTCTTATTTGCAAAACTCCTGCTATTCCACTGTGCCAAAACAGCTGAACATTGCAGGGCATTTAACTCACTGTTATAGCATGTGATCCATATGAATTCATTGACTCACTTTTCATTTATGCCAGTGTGGATCTGAAGTGTCTGCAGGTGAGTATTTTTTTATCTACACAATAGTTCAGCTAAGAGTTCTGCTATTTTCATGAGACATAACTCTTGCTTTACAGCCAAAGGGTGTTTAAAAAGATAATTTTAAATCCCATTCCAACCCATGAACTCGTTCCTGGAGAGGTCCTCTCAAGTTCTGCCTGAGCTTTCACTTGCTCCTGCAGAATCTCAGAAAATATGAAAGCAAGTCATCCCTATTTTTCAAGGGCAATTCAGATATCAAAATCAACCACATGAAGTCACACCTCATGCTGCCTCACAAAGGACTGCAAAATCCTGTCTATTAAGCAATGGAAAAAGCACCTCCTCCCTGCCCACCTGCATGACTAGATAAGGTTCTCAGAATTACACAAAACGCAGTGTGCAAGGAAACCACCGTGCTGTACCTCAGTAATTTTCTAACTCATTCTGCTCATTAAGGTACCACTGTGTTTCCTTTGGAAATTTACAGTGCTGGGAAGATGTAACACAAGTAAGTTTTCAAACTTAGTAAGTTTTCATGTATTTCATCGCATAAGGAAAACTATACCAAGCATTGTAACAAGATACCACCATAAAAACCACAGTGGAAAAGTTACCCTCAAAAAACCTCTGATATAGACTTTTTGTCCTTTTATAGGCAACAGGCTAGCCCAGGTAATAATGCTAAGTATCCACAGAAAGAACTAATTAGTTCAAGATGCCTTTTCAGTCTCTTGCCCTTGTATTTCAGAGACAGCTTGGGGCCCACACTTTGCATTAAGAATGAGGGCTGCTGTAGGTATTAACAGGACAGGAATGATAGGCTTGCTCTGTCTCCACATGGAAAAACTGCCCTCACAGTGAAATTACAGAGGGCGTTTCAAGGCAGGACACACACCTCACTTCTGTTTTGACAGGAAGGTATTTCAACAGCTTTTGGGTTTGGAAGCCAGGGGGTTAACTGTAAATTGACTCTATATATTGGATGACTACATTCAACTCAAGTTAAAACACACAGAACTGTGCTCTCCTGTACAACAACAGAGACAGACAGGCAATGGGAACACCAGAGAGAAAATGAACTTAAGATGACAGACAACAGCGATTTATAATAGATTAAATTTGACATAGGTACATTGGGTTCCAAGGGTCCGGACACAGATCATTGTGATTTCATTTGAACATCCCCACATCCGCCACGCACTCTCACCTGATCATACTCAGATGCTCCTGGATACAGAGGCCAGCCTAGAAACAGCTCAGCTATCACACAGCCCAGTGACCACATGTCAATAGCTTCACAGAACGGTAAACCCAGTATGATTTCAGGAGCTCTGTTGAGGTGGGGGGGGAGGGGAAAAAAAAAAAAGTAAAACCTTCGACTCTGAAAGCATGCAGTTCTTTCCTATAAATCACTCCGGATAACACCCCTCCTTCTCTCCTCCAAGCACAAGTAAGTCTGTGTGAAACTAAGTGATTCACTTTAAAGCAGAAGATGTTTCCTCAAGTGCCCTAACAGATCCCAACCTTTTTATCGCTTAGTGGCATGGCTGGATTCCTTTTATTGCTGTGGTGCCCTCCAACTCCTAGGTGGCCTTTATGCAACTGTGATACGAAGTTACTCCTTCAGTAACCAGTTTAATTAAACCTGACAGTATGTATGGTGCGAAGCATCCCTGAGACGGCGCACAACCTACCCTAACAGAATCGCGAAGAAAAGTTATGGCAAATGGTGCTCAGACTTTTCTCAGAAGAAGGTCTCAAGATTCCAGGTAACCAGCTGCAGAAGGCTGCCTGTTTTCATGTGGAAAAGAACAGCATCTGCAGAGCTAGAAAAAGGAGCTCTTCAGAAGGCTGCTCGGTTTCTATCAGCGGGTTTTCATACAAACTTTGTTTGGAAAGTTTCGAATTTAAAATGGATGGAGAGAACACAGCTGGAGATTGTGATGGCTTTGCAAGGTTGTGTTACAGGTTTCTGCGCACTGAACCACACCTAATGCAAAATTTACCTGTCTGGCTTAGCCTTTACGAGAAGGTGATGAAAAAAACTCAAACTCCAAGCAGGGTTTGCTTCTGCAACAGGTTGGAATTTCATTTCAGGGAGATTTCTGTCTGGAACTGACTCATAACACAAAAGGATGTTTTAGTACAACTCTTCACCTACATGCTGTTCTGAAACAAACCGATGCCTTTCTGTCAGGCTAAATTCTGGTCATACATTTGCATACAGCATAAAACCCAAGTGCTGCAAAAACCATGTGAGTTGGTATGGGAATTTACTCTGGAAAGTACAGGAAACACAAAAACCTTGATCGTCTTCATGCATAACTGACACAAGCACAAAGGAAGACAGAAAAGTCCTAAACTCCTGGCCATCTATTTTCTGGTCATGACTCAGGGAGCATGCCCCAGGGCTTGCACGACATTTCTTGTGTTACAGTGTGGATATTTCTGTTGTTAAAAAAGGCTCTGAAACCAGTTCTGATCTTTCTACAGGATTCTAAAAAACAGGGCTTGCATAATGTACAGGTGTCAATAGATCTGACACTCACCTTCCTCAACTGTTCAACCTGAATGTACCTCCCAACTGTTTGTACATGGCAAGAAGCGACTCTCCAATTAATCACCCTTTGTGTCGTGGTGACACAGATACAGCTTTTGTTTTAGGTGACAACACAATTACCATTAGCCAGTCTCCAAAACAAATGCACTCATCCCAGTTGCCCAGGCACAGTGCCCCTGAGAAGGCACAAGATCTATCAAAAAAAGATAGCTGAACCAGCTGTTTGCTGCAGTGAGGTCATACCTATTCTCTATCGTTCAGCCTTAAAGCAAGGAGGTTCTTCTATTCTGTCTGAGCCCCCCCCAAAACAGAGCCACGATATACCTTTAGTAATCAGAATAATAGATTATTTAAGCTAAGACATTCTGACACTCGCTCTACTTGACATTGATCTGTTTCTACCTTCTTGTTTGTCTATCCCTGGCAGTAGTTGACTTTGGAATGGTTTCACATATGTGAAAATATAAAATGATTATGCAAATATGGTAAGTATCTGATATTTGAATGCTGAATGTCCTGCTAAACATTTATATTTTAAAGAACTATGCTAGAATAGATCCAACTTTCTATAGGCTAACAGGTGCAAACAAGAGGAATCCGTTTCTGTAGTACTTTGGTCTTCACAAGCAGAGCAAGTATGATGCAGTCATTCACACAGGATTTTCAGAACCCCATGTGCCGCTGGTCTACTAGTCATCATCAACAAACTGTATCGATCCTCTTGATTACCCTACTTACGCAGGAATTTCCAATTCAGATATGACAGGTTTGGGTCCTATAAGGAACGCTGCATGCATAAGTTTCCTTGGTTTGGACTAGCAAACAAACTAAACTAAGTGGCTTGTGGAATAAGCAGAGCATGCTAATCCTTTATGAGTGCATTACAAAAATCCCACCAATTCCATTGGAAAGAGGGATCAGTGGCAACAAAGGCTGGATGTGATAGTTTGTTAGTCTTTAACTACATGCTGGAATAGACTTAGGTATTCCAAAACCTCAATACCAAAATGATAGCAAGTTGAACTCTATGCATTTTATTCCCCAAAACTAAATAAATGAACTTCTCACAAGCCACCTGATCTCATTTTGATTGCAGGACAGAGCTGGTAAATCAGAATCTCTCTCATCTCCTTTTACACCACTATAATTAGCCTTATGAGATGTGAGTTGAAACAGGACAACAGGCAGAGGTCACTTTCATAGCTGGTCTGTCAAGAGATTAAAGTGATTTTACAATCTTAAGCTCTTTGAAATAGAAATCAACAACATTCTTTCTTTGCATACATGCTTGCCAAACTCTGACTCCCAAAGTTGGCAAATATGCTCAGGCACTCTCAGAAGAGAAAGGATTCACAGCAGTAGCGGAAAAACTCAAGACTTACTTTTAGCATTTCAAAACACACCATGTTTTACACATGGGTCTTCAGCCCTCCCCCTTGTGAAGAATGATGGTAACATGAAGCTTGTACAACTGCAACTAGCAATGCAGTGAATAACATGATCACCACTCAGAGCTGGATTAGCAAGATTTGGCAGCGTGCACTGCTGCTTCCCAGGCCAACATGACTGGGACAGAAGTAGGTCATGTAGCCCAAAGCAGAGGTAAGAAACAGATACTACTGCACTCTGCAAGCTCCCTCCACACTCAGTGCCACCTTCTCATGGCCCAAATTGTTCAGTCCTTCAGCTTAGTATCTTCAATTTGCTAGGTGCCTCTACACTGACCCACAGGAAACATCAGGAGGTAGGGATCTGAGTAAGACTCGCATGATGGCTGTACTTACATATAACATAGGACACAAGTAAACCTCACTCTCTGAACAGCAGGGATTCCCAGGGATTTTTCATTTCTGCAAGCTGTCTGCTTCCTTTTATTGTTTATCCTCCCCAGGGAGAACAAAAGCATCCATACCCTTCTGCACCTCATGTAACAAGCGTATATTCTGGTTTTCAGGTCAGGAATTACTGCTAATAGATCTCAGGACTGTCATAGAAACTACTCACTGCACAGAAGCATGACTGCCAGCCAGCCTACTCCTAGTCCATGCCTGGCTTCAGAGCCAAAGAATTCTTCGTGGGCACTTCTACTCACACTTTAAGTCAACCATGTCATGGCAGCAAAACTGCCCTTCTTGACTGGGGCTACACTGCAGAGGCAGCAGTAATGCCTGTGGAGAGAGGGAACCTGCCTCAGCCTTATCACGCTTGCGCTGACAAACCCAATACTACATCCCAACTGGATGTATAGCTCCAGCAGTGTCATTGAGACCGATGCAAGTTGTCCAACTGCCAGAAGTACAATCAGAACCTGGAGTGAGCAGGGCTGTTGGACAAGATGACCTCCAGCAGCACTGAGCATAATTATTAAAGGAAGTTTTTTTTCCTTCAGGGTATATGTATCAGAAAATTCACCTTACAGTACCCGAGTCCGGCTGGTTTAGATGTCTCTACAGGAGACAGAGGTTACATAAGTGCCAGTAACAGGTATTAAAAACAAAAAAGTGAACACAGAATGAGAAGTTTATTTTTAATAGCTGACAGAGAACCAAAAGAACAATTGTCTATACTGTTTTATTAAGCACAGCATTGAAAAAATTTCCAACTTTGAACTCATCTGAACACTAATTTAATGTGAATATGGTTAAAGCAATCCAGTTCTCCCACAATAAGCTGGTTTCTACACCATCTCCATAAGTTCCTAGATTATGGATTTTAGTAATCATCACCATTAAACTAATTACGTATCACTAAATATTAGATTTCCACATCACAGCATTCTTAACTTCAGTCAAGCAGACAGCCTTAAACACCATCTAATCTCAGGTTATTTGCCTTTCTGGCAGCGTCAGTCACTCCGCGTCAGGGAGGCGGAAGCGGCTTGGAGTTCAGTGCCGCACACAAAGATGAAGCAGACAGCTTCCTTCCCAGCAGACCCTTTAAGATACTTATCATCCCTTGCTGCTTTTGCCTCAGCCAAATCTGTTTTTTGCGGTATCAGAAACTGGAAAGCACTATATGCCTCCCCAAACTGCTTTGCTTACATGTGTTGCAAGTCAGAGCAGATTCTTGATCAGCGGTCACCTCTTTCAATGCAACAACAACAAAACGAATAATGCATTTTAGACAGCGAGCATTTTAACAGAGCTATGGTGCATAGAAGACTACTGCGTTACAAAAAATAACAATCAATAGTTTAGAATTGGAAAGATTGGTGCCAACAAGCTGAGTGAAGATCGTGAGGAATGGATTAAGAAAAGATTAAGAAAGAAACAGCACAGAAAGCTGGTACTCGGTGTTAGAGGGAGTTAAAAAAAAAACACCAACAAAAAAACAAAAGGGGGCAAGGTTACAGGGAGTATGAGGAACAAACAGAACAAGCCTACAACAAGCCAGGGCTTTAAACTGAAGCTAGGTGGACGGGAAAGACATCAAACAGGGCAGAGACACAGGGTGGGGTGGAGTGTCTCAAGTCCTCTGTCTTGTCCCAGCTGGATGGACTAGATACTAGTTAAGTTTTGCGTCAAGTGAGCTCACATTCCACTGAAAGCAACCCTGACACACAGCACAGACTTTTTTCATGTCCTTTTGACGCCAGAAGTTCTTTCCGCATCCATTTATTGAAGTCTACTGCTACTTATATTGAAATATACACACTATTTACAGAACCAAGCTGGAGGAATAATTGAGAGAAAAAGCACAGTTTGCTTTAGCTCCACAGTTTCCGAGTTTTAACATTTTTGCCCAGAGTTTATTTTTAATTCTTAGACAGGAGTTGGGTAGAAGCCACTTCTACATTTTGCTAAGGGAAGCAGAGATCTAGCTCATCCCCGTTTCAAAAGAGCTACAGGTCTCATGAAAGCGTGACTTACCGAGGGCTGATACAGGAAGTCACGTGCTCATGAAGTGGGTTCAGACAAAGATGGAACCAGAAGAAACAGAATAAAAAGAAATGGGCATCCCTTTGACTTTTCTCCCTTCTAAATGAGCATGGTTAATGGACTAGTTTCCGATCATGGCAAATAATCCAAAATGCTGTATTAGTAGCGTACTGCTTCCCCAGTTTGCTGTTTCGTCACAAACTAGCGACAGGGTAAAATCAACTTACTGCACTAATCTGGGGTAAAAGGAAGGTACTGGACTGCATATTATGTCACACTTGCAAAGCAGAAGTTCTGTTTATTTACATACAAATTTCAGAAGAAATCTCCAGGAAACATGCAGAACAGTGGATAGGCTGATCATTTCCTCCTCCCCCCTCAACTGGGATTACACCTAATGGCGGAAGAGTGAAGTACTTGTAGAAGCAAACCCCTACCCCTAGCACCCCATCAGGATTAGCTTTTCTTTGCTCGCGCAGCGTATGAAAGTGAGGGTTGTATCAGTACTTACCTGTAATAGCGCGACTGCAAATAAGTGGAGCACACTGCTTTAGACACGTGACTGGCTGAACCAAAGTCTATCACCTTCACTCTGTAGGGCTGGCGCGCAGGATCCACCAGCATGATGTTTTCTGGTTTCAAATCAGCATGTATCAGACCCAAGCTCTTTAACTTCATCAAGGCAGTAGCCACTTGCTGCAGAATTGGCCGGATGTATTTCAGGGGCAATGGACTGAACTTATTTTGCTTTAAGAAATCATATAAGTTCTGTTCTAGCATCTCAAATACAAGGCATGTATGATTCTTGTGTTGAAAGCACTCATAGGAGCGAACAAAGTTATATTCGTCAGCATTCTCACTGCTCAAGCGAGAGAGGATGCTCACCTCTATCTGGCCCTGCCTAGCATAGGAAGGATGGTTCTTCAGGATTTTGATGGCTACAATCTCCTTCGTGCTACGTTTCCAGCATTTCGCCACCTGCCCAAACGTCCCTCGGCCCAGGAATTCCAAGACCTCGTAGCTGTTTGTCATAGAGCACAGGATCTCATGCTGGACCAGCTGATAATCCCCTTCACCACTGGAACTGCTGCTTTTAGTGGTTACCGTGGTGGTTGTGGCCGCAGCACCCACCGCAGGTCTGTTTTGCAGCATGAGAGGTGGATGTTCCTCAATTATCTGCACACTACCGTTGCTGTCGACCTCTTCACTTTTCCTTTTTAATCCACATTTTTGGTATGGTTCCAGTAAAGAAACGTTGCTCCTATGTGTTAGGGTTTGGCTGTTCTGGAAGGACGCTGTTGCGCTGCTGCCTGTGCTGTCGGCTGCTGTAACCACAATGTGCTCGACTGACGGGGCAGGGAGAAGGAGGTTCTGATCGTAAGCAGGGATGCTGAAATTGGCTACCTGATGAGAGGAGCTTGCTTGCCCTTGAGCTGCTGGGAGGTTTTTGCTGTGGGTATAATACTTGTCACTACTGCTCTGTCCTGAAACATCCCAGACAGAGGGCTCCACTTTCAGTTTCTTGGCACTGCAGAAGGCACTCGAGGATACTGACGGAGGGGAGAACACCTGCAGCTGTGAGGCCATACCTGAAAAGGGAGAAGAGAACTCATTAGGACTGCTTAGTGGCAGCAGGTTGCAATGGAACAAGATCCTCCATCCGCACAAGAAACAGAATGACAAGTATTTTTCTAAGCACCGTATGGTGCCTATCACCTAGGAAGGCATCCTTTTGAACTGCTGATGCTAAGGGCATCCACGGAGCAAGGCTCTCCGGTGGAATTACTGCATTTTACCTCACTGCCTGCAGCATAAGAAGCAGACAGCTCTTTAGCCAGCTTTCGAAAGGCTAAAGAAATCCCAGCACAAGATGGGAAAACAGTACTGAAGAATGGAAGACGGCACGGAAGTGGGAAGATGCTGAGAAAATTAAGAGCACTTTCCCCCCCCGCGCCCAGGCCTGTTCCCCCCGCAACTGTAAAAACAGAGTCAACGTGAAGTCTAAACCGGACAAGTCAAACTCCTCATCGGAAGC